CCTAATGAGAGGGGATATATGAAATATCTGAGGGAACTATGGATGGACAGAAGACCTACATCCACACTAACTGAGAAACAACTAGTTACCCAGCTCTTCAATATAGTGAAAAGGAAGCTGCACTCACAACTTGAGGTAGACCAACTCCACATTACAACCCAGACTCAAGTAGACTTGGAAGAACAACTGGATGTGCAGCCAACACCTGAAGCTGGAACCTCACTGCTACCCCCTCCTTTACAGAGCACAGCAGCTGATATGAGGCAATCATGGATAAACTAGCTATAGTCAACCCTCGAGACTGATTACCAAGGCTCAGTGGAGAAGTAACATCAGATAGTTTGCTAGAAGATGCCAATAGATCCCTCATGACAATCCCTACTACCACCATAACTCAAACTAATGAACTGGTATACGCTACAGCCACTGTAATCCTGGAAATGCTTGGGATTGTAATGTGGAGTTGGTCTATCTCAAGTTGTGAGAGCAGCTTCCTTTTCACTATATTGAAGAGCTGGGTACACAATCAAGAAGAACAGCAGTACATACCCCGCCCCCCAGAAAATGAGGTTGGAGGCTAAGATAAAGGCAATTTGGAGAGAAGTTAGTCAGTGGTGGAACTACAGAAGGGTGTGGAGATTAAGGATAAGACTCAGCTACTGAAAAAATACATGGGTCTGACTCCATCTGAAGCCCTAGAGACTGCTAAACAAAGGTTCACAGCAATGGCTACAAGGCTAAGGAGAAGCAGAGACCAAGAAGATAAATGCACTGTTCTCCAAAGAACCATCCAAGGTGTATTCCCAACTGCAGTGCAACCACACAGTAACAGCAGAGCCACCAGCAACAGAAACTGAACAGTACTGGAAGAACATATGGGAGAAAGAGAAGACACATAACACCAATGCAAAGTGGCTGCAGGACCTGAAAGCAGACCACAGCAATCTCCCAGAACAGGAACCAGTCACCGTCACAGTAACAGACAGCGGGTTAAGAACATGAAGAGCTGGACAGCACCTGGCCCAGACATGATCCACACCTACTGGCTAAAGAAACTAACAGCAGTGCACGAATGCCTAACAGTACAGAGAAACCAGCTGCTAGCAGCAGGCTCCCACAA